CAGTTCCTCCTCTGCCAGCACCTGCTGCTGCCTTGCAGTCACCCGACTGTAGCTGAAACTTCTATAACCTGTGAGCCAAAATAAACCTTTCCTCTAAACTGCGAGTTTGTCCTAACAATGAAAGTAACTGAGACAATAACATAAACGTGAGTACATATTAGGCTAACCAGAGAAAAATTTTTATCAAAAATGGACGCAATTTAATGTCCAGGATAGAAAGGCATTCATCCAATGTCCTAAAAAGTTCTGAGTTCCAAAAATTTTTAAATTTTGCCATTCAGAAGTGTAAGACATTTTACAACAGTGTTGCTTTAATTTGCTCTTAATGTACTAATTTTCATGCATCTCTTTTATTTGTAATCTTTATTGGTCTTTTATATGGTTTTAACTGAATGATTTACTTCATTGTCTTGTAGTTTTAGAAATTCATGTTTACATTAAGAAAACTAGTTCTGTCTTTCATACCTAAATATTGCTTCTCAGTTTTCCAGTTTTTGGATTTTAAATTTAGAAAAGTCAAATTTTTTATCCACATATGATTCCTAAATTATATTAGCTCAAAAGATAAACTTTATTTTTAGTATTTTGTCAACAGTATTAAATGTATTATCTAAAATGTTTCTCTAGCCAGTGAAGATTTAAAATTTTATAAATTTTATTTCTATTTCCAAGTTTCCATGTTCAAATCACAAAGATACTCTTTCATCTGACGAAAGTGAAGTCATTTTATGAAGAGTTTGGCTGCAGTCCTCTCTTTGGCAGTTTCTGAAAATCTGCATGCCTTTCCTGAATTTCACATTTTTCCCAAATGATATGTCAGAGGAGAACAGGGGCTTGGACATTTCTACCCATATGTGTATTAATGCACTTTTAAAAGGCCACTCTTTCCCAGTTCACAGTGGGCAGCATATGGAAATACACCAGCCACCGCCAAATGAGAAGGCACATCAGAATTTAAACACACTAAAACTTGCTGACAAGTTTACAAACAAAACCCTATTATCTCCCTTGAAGGCTTTCTTGTGTATCTTCAGCATTTCGTATTTCTGGTGGTGGAATATTTTTGTTAACAAATGGAGTTTAGTGGATACACAAACACATTGGTGCCATTTCTCTCTTCCCAGGCTTCATAGCCAAATTCTCTAGGGGAGGAAATAATTATGGAATCACCTAGGCCCCCAGATCACCTTGGAATTTCTGAATCTGTCAACCACACCAACTCTAAACAGCCAACTTAAAGAAGAAACAAAACAACCCTCAAAATTACCCCATAGTAACTGAGCTTGCCATCAAGTTGCCAGTTATATCTAAGGAAATTGTTTTATTTCCCCATCTTAAAATGTGTAAGGACAGTGGTCACCTCCTCCCCATTTGCTGGCTGCATTGCTGGTCACTCTTACAGCCTTGCCTGCATCCGTGCAGATGTTACCAAATTTCAGGGTCTGGATCTGGTATTGGCTTCAGGCTGCAATCCAGCATGGTGGCTTTGACATGTGCTCCTCCCAATCATTACTGGAGCCTTATTGGAGGTGTTTGTCACCAGCCTGCTGAAAAACACATGGCACTTTGGTTTGTGCCTCTTGATTCACAAGGGGACCTCAAGGAGACCGTGGAAGGGACAGCCATGTTTGGCAAGGTGGTACCCTCACCTGCTATGGTCATCGAACTACATAGACCCTTTCCTGAACATCATCAGATAAAATTAATATTCTGCAGGTTTATTAATGATTATTCATGTGTATTATTGCCATTTTGAAGAAAAGGAAAAGCTGTAATATTTTAACAACACACACTCGTAATTCCCTGATTGTAATGGTCCCATCACTTTTATCTCTAGCCTCTTCATTATCATCATTGCAGAAAAATTATGGGTCATCTTGTAAAAGTGAGAGGTCAAGAAAGCTGAGGTGACTGCCAAAGTGATTTCACAATGATCATGAAATAATGCAGCTTGATTTTCTGCATTTTTTAGTACAATTTTCCTTTGCAGGTTCACTTTTCTTCACGTTTTCAGTTGCTAATGGGATTTATTTTCAAACTTCAACATATGATGTTCTCACAGCTGGAAACTGATGTCAACTTCAATTACTCTCTGATTTGAGACAAAAAAATCCTACTTCAAAGAACATATTCTGGCTATCAGTTACCACATGGGACAATTACCCCACCCTCTCCACACAGGAGGGCCCATGGGGAGAAGTGGAAAGATTGAAATTTTGGGATTTCATGTGATTGTGTAGAGCTGAGAAGCAAGACACAGTGCAATGTCACTGAAGGTCAGGGATTTTATAATTAGCAATAATTGCTCATAAAACTCATTGAGCAACTATGGGTCTCATTTCAGAGAATCCAATTATCACATTTTTATTTCTAACTTGGAGGGATTTTTTCCTTGTGCATAACAAAAGAAACCTTGTTCTAGCTCACCATATTAGAAACTGATCTATTAACGGGGAACGAATTATATAAGACATGGGTGTATTTGCTGAAAAAGAATGGACAATGATGTCATAAGCTGCATTAGATTTAACTATTTTATGTATAGTAAACAATACATTAATATTCAAGTTATAATGAAATCATCAGCAATTCTAAGCTACAAATTGTAGCATATTTTGTTGGAGATTAAATGTACAGGTTACACTGCTTGAAGAAAACTCCTTATAGCATGTAAACAAAATAAATTTCTTTGTAATAAACGCTTGCGTGTATAACAGACCATCATTGGTTTTCAGCGAGTGCGTATTTTGGGCCACTACCAGCAGCCTTCGTGCAGTAATGGAACACTAGTGGCTCTTGACAGCTGTAGGTAATAACTTTCCTGACAGCTCCCTCGTCAGTGGAGTCCACCCATCCTTACACGAAAAGGTCTGATTTTCAATTCCAGGGCTACTTTAATTGCTGCTAGTTAATCGTGTTTGAGAGATAAGCAGTTATCCCAGATACAACATCAAGGACCGGGAACAAATACCACTAGATCATCCCCTTCCCAGTTAATTAGAACACGACACTATTTGTAACCACTTTGGCCACACATGTTGCTGCTCTGTGAAAGAATACACAGTTTCTTGTGCATTTTTCCCTGACCTTACTCACACTTCTACTTTACACTACTTTTTATTCAAAGTTTTACATTAGGAAGGCCCCAGAGCTCTTAGTAGTAATGAGTGTAATCACGGTGTAACCTTTGCCTATTGGTAGGATGCCTGGTACTGACCCCAAAGTTACTGGGTATCCATGGAAGGGTGATTCAGATGGGCGATTCAAGCATCAAAGTAAGAGGAAGAATTACGCCAATGGACATGAAGATGAAAGCTTTGCTCTAACTTATGAACAAGTCACAGACAGAAATGTGACCTGTGATCTCTCTCAGATGAGGAGCTTCAAGAAAGGGAATGACTCATAGGAACCCCATGGCACTTCCTATCACTGCTCTCTTTCACTCTAACTGTCTAAGGGAGTGCTGCTCTTTGAACCTGAAAATCAATCACAAGAAGTCTGTTCTATCTTTAATATCTCCACTGCTGCTCCTGCCCTAATAATCAATGGGTTATATGGTGCTGGGTTCTAGATGCCAGACTCAGCAACATAAAAATGACTCAGTATCACCCTACGAGGATAATAAATTGAAAGACAAGTAATCAATCAAATTACCACATACATTTCTTGTACTTGAAGGAATTGTAGCAAATGGAATTAAGAGAAAAATGTATACTCAAAAATGTATATTTACTATTTGCTTTTTAATAGAAAGAAATACTATTAACATAGAGTTGTTTTGTAGATACTGAAATGAACTGGATTCTCTAACATTTTTTGGCCACAATTCTGTAATCTTTGTAGTTCATTTTGGTTTTGAAACATGTTTCTATTTCCTAGGAGTTGTAGTACTTACAACAGAAAATCAGCAAACAGCTAAAATCTACACCAGCAGGACTGAGGAGGGAACATTGCACATGTAAATCCTTGTTCGAACACCCAAGAGTGAGACCACTCACTCTGAAAAAGGAAACCTGCCTGACTCAGAAAATTTAGCTGTCAAACAAGGTATGCTTGGGGAAATGTTTCTAAGACAGAATATTGATACCATAGGAGGCCCACTTAAAATAAAAGATATTTTATATTTTAAAAACACATAAATGCTAATCAAATATTTGAAAATATATTATTTTAATTCCACAAGATCATGAATAAACTCTATGATCTTTGTATTTCATCAGCATTAGCATGGATATTGCTGTATCCAAGGAGTGCAATTTCTCCTGCCTACTGTGAATTTTTGTAAAAACTTCCAGATATGGAACACAATCTCTAATAAATGGAGAATTTTTAAACCAGAAGGTAAGGGTTTCGTTTACCCTAAATAGATGTATTAAAAAATGGTCATCAATAGTTTTTAAAAATATAACTTCCTTGAAAGGAATATTTCCTTCATTTGTCAAAAATATATACCTATACTTTTTTCTGTTGACAAGTGAAAAATGTAATCTAACTTCAACCCAGGAAATATTTTTACTTCTTCATGGTGAAAATCACCGATCAGAAGAATAAAGCCAAGCTGAAGAGAATACACTACTCAGTTCTAAAATTCTACAAAGATTGCAAAATTCTTTAGCGTTCTTTCCACCACCTTCCTGCATTCCTCTGATGGAATACATTCCCCCCGGCAACACATTGTTTACGTTGTTGGGCGAACTCTATGCCTACATTTGTCTTGCAATTCCTCCCTGCGGTCCACCGCCGATTAAAAACTCTGCAGTTCACATCTTTACTGAGATTATCTAGGGAGCACTGTTTTAAAGATCCTGAACCACCTGATACACATAAGTGAAATCAGCGATTGCGCTCCGGAAGTTCTGGGCACCAGAGAACGCGCAGCCTTGGACGCGCATCTCCATCTGTGCCAGGGACCCCTTTCTTCGGAGGGTGAGGTGGGCCCACTGCAGCTGGCTCCAGATCAGATCCTGCAGCGGCTGCACCCAGCCCAGCGCGACCCCTACCTCACTTTCAGGTTGCCCTGCTGCGGCTGCCCGTCGTAGACCGACAGGATGTCGAAGTCCTCCTCCAGCGCGAAGGTGTGGAAGGACAGCTGGATGCGGTTGCGCTCGCCCGTGACAATGATCCACGTGCAGTTGGCGTAGTTGGGATAGCCATGAGGGAAGCCCGGGCTCTCGATGGTCCCATTGGGGCCCTGGACCAAGCCCCCGCAGTTCTGACCTGCGCGAGAAAACACAGAATACCTGTGACTCTACGGTCTTCAATCTGTGACCTTCTACAATTCTCCAGCCGTTCTGATGAAGGTTTGGGCGGCCGGAGGCATGATTCTCATGCACAGTGTGGAGTGCGGGGTTGCATGGCTCTGAAAGACCGACAGAGAGGGCCCCCAAAAGGAGCAGAGCAAAGGAGACAGAAGGACTGGGAGTTCCTAAGAAACCGCGGGAAATCTGTTCTCAAATCGCATCAGCACAATGCAGGTGCCAGCGACCTGCACAGCCTTACACACACATACTTCGTCCCTGAAGGGAGTTCCTTGTTGGAGGAAACCAAGCTACGGGTAAAACATTATTAAAACACACACGTTCTCGCGTGCGCGTACACACACACACACACACACACACACACACACACACATCTCAACACAGCCAGATGACCTCGGGCTATGGTGCTGTGAAGAGGACAACCATGGTCCTGATTGGGTTCCTACAGAAGTCCTGCTGCGCAGAAGATAGGAGACTGCAGAAAAACATTAGGTGTGGGACAAGGCAATCTGAGTGATGATCCAACGCAAGAGCAACCCAGCATCCCCAAAACACAAGGACAGCATTGGGGTCACTTTCCTTATGTAAGTGGGACCTGAGACAGACACAAAAAGAAGCAAGTATTGGAATGAAGGAAGAAAGCGTCCACCTTGGCTGGTACGCAGGGTTCCCAAGGTTTGCAGGCTGCCTGCACACACTGGTCTCCCCTCCAACTGCTCCCCCTTAGGTGGGCGGCTAGGGTGCCTGAGAGTCTCGGGTCCAGCACCAAAGGGAAATGAAGATCTTCACACTGTGGCCTCTACTGAACAAGCTGGGAGTCACGGGGCTCGCTCCACCCTGGCCTCAGCCTGAAGTCCTCTGGAGCCTGGGGCAGGCAGGGCTCCCTCTGTAATTCACAGCCCCACCGCTTGAGGGAGTTCTCTAGTGATGGTGAGGGAAGGGCATCTAAGGGATGGCTAAACGCACACACTGGACCACCGGCCTAAGTCCACACCCGTGTCCTCGTCCCCAGCTAGTCCAGGCTGTCTCCTGCTGCTCCGCCCACATCACGGCCCTTCTGGCTACAGCTTTCCTGCTTCCCACTGTGCCTGCCAGCTCTACCTCGTGACTGCGGTCCACGCCCCACATGCCCCCTGCACATGATCACAGCCCCCACAACAAGCCTCACCTGATGCCCACCCAATGCCCACCGTGCAGTGAGCCTGCATTGCCTCGCTAACTGGGTCCTCTAACTTTTTTCCTCTTTGGCTCCCTCTACCCCCTGCTCCCCCTGGTTATGTGGAGGGACGCAATTCAATGAGAAAGAACAGGTGGTTAGTACAGGGAGGTGCTGTAGCTGGTTCCAACTGCTCTAGTGGAAACACAGTTACCGCTTCTACTGCGAAGGTGATCTGGTGAGGGAACCCAGCGACTGCTCTGCACACACCCCATGTCAGTTGTTCTGAGTTTTCCTCTGCATGGTTCCTGGAAACTGTGCAGTCTCTCCTGGCTGCCGGCTCTGGTGTTTTCCTACCCATGTGTCTGAGATGTGTTTGAATGTCTGGACACTAAGAACACAAAGGAAGGGGCTGGGGATTTAGCTCAGCGGCATAAGCACCTGCCTTGTAAGTAGGTGGTTGTGAGTTCGATCCCCGGTACTGATAAAAAGTTTAAAAAAAAAAAAAAAAAAAGAGAATGCAAAGGAAGCCGTACAGGGCTGTGGACACACTCAGATTGTGGACAGAGCATAAATACTGGAACACAAGCACCATTCCAGCTTTCGCTGTGGAACTGCAAACAGCAATTTACTTCTAACTGCATTTTATACTTAGGAATACACACTAGTGGGTCTCAGCTTGAATGTTTCAGTCTTAGGAACTGCTCGTGTGAATTTGCTAAATCTTAATACAAAAGTTTAATGAAAGGGATGCATGAGTTCAAAACCAGTGAACTAGTAGGAAACCCATTTCCACTGAATTTAAATCTAATAACACTGCAGCACAGATTTTGAAAGATATTTTAAGAGAACAGCTTTTCTAGGTTGTTTAATATTTCTTCCCGGTAAATAAGAAATGAAGATCTGATTACAATTCACAGGAAAGAAAACAGTTCAACAGGAGATATCAAATATCACATATCCACGGAAAAGCAGTTTGCCCATTTCTGGGTGGGCCAGTCTTTACCATGCCTTTTGCAGAAAGTGCCTGATTTGATTAGTAGCCAGACTTTTCCACAGCCCTGTTAGAGACTTGGGGAACTTCTAGAAAGTTCTTAGTGGCTCTTGTCCCTGGTTGCACTTTGCAATCAATAAAGAAAGTTTTATGTTTCATGCCTACGATAGATTCTGATATATTCGGTCTAGGCCAGGAGTACCCAAGACAATCTTGACAAGAACTAACCTGGTGACCTTAACACCACCTATTGCTGCATCCTGCGGTAAAGATGTGGTAATTAAGATGGTTTGACTGGTGTTAGGCTGGAAAGCCAACAGCACAGAAGAGAAGGCCAAACCGCATTGAGAGTCAGGCTCAGATTTACAACAAAGACACCCGGTGCGCTCTAAGGAGGTCAGGCTTGTGAACTCACAGTGCCAGGCCAACTGCAAATGCAGGTGGAGAAACAAGTCTACACAGTTCCAAACTCACAGGATAGACAAAGATCAACCCAGTTGAGCTGTGGATGTAAATACACATATGAAATAATAATGCTTCCAGAAGAAAATAACCCCAAAGTCTTTATTGTGGATGCAAACATTTTAAATTGAACACAAGCAAAATAATAATCAGTGAATTACAAAAACCAAACAGAGATCTTTTTGGAATACATATCTTTAAAAAGATAGCATCTACACAAAGTATTGGGTAAAACTCATTCCTTTAGTAAACTTTAGTGAACTTCTCTTTAGTGAGACAAAGCCAACAGGTTGGGGAAACACGATAGCTCTCAAATGATGTAGAATCAGAAAGAAAAATATTGATCTATGGATCATGAGGTGAATCCTTTGAAAGCTGTCCTGGCCCTCCCCAGCCCCAGAGCTGTAAGAAAACAGCATTTTCTGCTGAAGACAACACCCCCAACCTTGCTTCTCCCTACAGAGGCTCTAGCCCTGCCCTGCCTCTCTTGAGCAGTCTTTGGTCTCCAGGGAAGTGGCAGTTCACCTGCAAGTCAGCAGTGTCAGCAGTCTAGGAAAGTACCTGGGCTTTTACAAAAATAAAGAGTATGAGCCACATTAGAAGAATTACCAATTTAAGCAACATTACCCCTGTAGCATTGACTGGAGTCATTGGGGTACATGGTGTTGTTTGGAACCTAACTAATATTAAATTGAAGAAATTATTAGTAATTACCTTGAAGTTATGGATCTCAATACCATTAGTTCCTATATAATGCTCACAAAAACAATGACTAATACAATTCATAATTATTCTCCAAATGTGCGCTTCAAAGATGGGAAGTCTTTTTAGTTGATAAACACAAATAACTCAGTCTCACCTTTACTAATTTTAGAATTTCATTCAAGTAACTTTTTTACTACATGTGTGGGTGCATTGGGATACATGTATTGATCACACTCATCACAGGGACTTTATCCCTTACATGCTGTATCTTGATTCTTTTTTATTTGCCATTCCTCTTCTCCCTCTTATTTACAGAGTTTTGTTCCCAGTTGTTTTTCTTATCATTTTCTTTTTCCTTCTTTTCCCCTCTGCCTCCCAAGAGTAATGTTACTCTGAGGTTATAAAGTTTGCTTCCACTGAATCGAGCATTTTAATTAAGTAAAATTAACTCACCAGTAAATGCTTATGGATTAGAACTACCATTTTTAGGTTTTATTTGCAATTTCAAATAAAAACAGGATGTAAATGTAGCTCTATGAGCATCAAACGTCAATGGTAGGGGATTTCTTCAGATATTAGAGGTTAATATCTTACCTCATTTCCCATGATTTTCTCTTCAAGTTTTATTCTCTAGCAGGCATCTATTGCTACAGAGCATACTCAAAACCTCTATAAATGTGTTTTCTTTAAACATTACATATCTATGTATGATTTAAATGTTCTCCTCATATATAGCTTCAAATACTAAGATAATTTTAACTGTAAAAATGTTAATGGGCAAATTCTTAATTACTACACACATAATCATATCTTAACTTGTAGCTCAACATGAATATTTTGTAAGTAAATTTGTTAGTTAAAATTTCCTTAGGGCAACAAAGAAAGATGCAATGTTTTGGCAAGAACTGTGATATTACAGTTATAATTGAGTTGTTTATTTGCTCAACTGCTACTGAAAAATAATATATGATGCTCTTCTTTCTTTGAAGTACTAGTGCAGGAAGACACTATGGAATCCAACATCCATGCCAGTGAGAGAAAAGAAGAAATACGTATGTGTGCACATGTATGTATATGTACATAAATGCATGATCTCTTCCCATTCATGCTGATTTTTAATTTCATTCATATAGGTACCTCTATGTATAAACATGTATGTGTGACCCTATACATTGATTACATGTATGCTAACACGCACATCACACAGAAACATGCATCAATATTTTACATACAGATAAGTTTTGTGGCTGTAATTCAAATTGTTGTCAGGAAAAATAAAATACATTCCATGATTTTAAGAAAGTGATATCAAAGTCATCTACAGATCAAACTTCACCATATGAAACATTTGGCTTATATTTTAAATAGCTAAGAGGATGCTAGGTGTCCAGTACTGACACCGCATTAAGTGTGCAGACAGTCATCATCTGATAAACTCTCACACTGTTTTCTCCAGCTCTACATCATGTCTTGAGGCCCCTGACAGAAACTCACATCTTAAGTTTATGGATCTGCACGTGCAGGAGGGAATGAAGAGGTTGCCCAAGGTGTCCCTGGGGGAAGCAAGATGGTGTGACAGCAAAGTCTCTTGCTGTGTCCCTGGCGACGCACACACAAAGCTTCATACATTGGCAGCTCAAGT